CGAGCCTATACAGCTTGGAGTAAGACAACATGCATGAAGAGGATGATGTGGACAAAATACTCATTTGCCTAATAATTCTGCACTCCCTGTACATGCACCAACAAGTGTTTTATGTAACACCATAAAAGTCTCACATTACTGAAAATGAATTCAACACTAAAAAAATGTTACATTTTTAAGTCAAATCACACAACAGTGAACATGAAAAGCATTTCAAAATAAGAGAAAGATAAAATGGATTAAATTAAATTACCTATATTTACAGTGGGTGGCTCACCTTCATGCCATCCTCTTGCCCTTTAACTGGGGGCTCGGAAGCTGAAGGAGGGGTGGAGTGGGGAGGGTCACGGCCAGGATTGGGGTAAGGGGGGGAACGGATGATGACGGGCTTATTGACCTGCATAACAGGTCTCTGAATAGGGTTAGGGAAGGGGCCTGTGGTGGGGGGCCGCATGTGCATCACCATGCTGCCCTGAGCAGGAGGGACCTGTTGGTCACAGAGGAAACAACAGGAGGAAAAGCAGGTGAAGGGTTGGGAAATAAATGAAATGCAAATAATTAGCAAGTGCTGAATTTCTTAACACATTTTTAGACTTGACTTTTAGATTCCAAATACTGATGTTCAGGCTAAAGGATGTAGCGATCCTATATTAGGATATGATATTGGCAGCAGTATGCATCAAAGACTCTCACTGAGCAGAAAAGAGACCAGTAACAAATACCTTTTAAAAAAATAAAAAACATCTTGGTCCTCCTGTTATTTATTTAAAATAATAAAGCCCAAGCGAGTAAGTGCATATTCTTGTATTTGTATTTACCTGTGACAGTTTACTTGAATAACGTTCAAATCCAAGTCTGATACTGGCTTAGACATAAAATACCGGGGGGCTGCCAGTGCTACTTCTCAGCCTCCTAGTAAATACACATACGGTATGAATTTAAAACTCCTATGACTTTGAAATTCATACCGTATGTAAAAACAAAAATGATTCTCAGATACTCGTACTTAGTGCTCTGTATGAGCAGAAACCAAGGTAATGGTCCTGGAAGGGTTTTTTGTTTTGTTTTGTTTTTTACAGTATACTATATTTTAATCTAGGGCTGTGCGATATGACCAAAATCTCATATCCCGATATAAGAATTCTATCGTCCCGATAACGATATAAATCACAAAAATGTAACATTTTCTGTAAATTCTGTGAATCTCGGGCAGCTCGACTTGCGTGAAGTGTTTCCAGCTGCGCGTCATGTATTTGGAGTCGAGTGTTTTAACCGATGCATGAAACGATACATTTTTAGACATAGGTTGTAACAGCCGCCATTTTCTTTGTATTTATTACACGGCATGCTGTGGGGAAAAGCCTGGTCTAACGTTTCAGTCTGGCGGCTCTTTTTTAATTCTCATCCGTAAATAATCTGCTCTTTCACATGATTTAGTTTATTTTGAAAAATCTCAACAGGATCTTGAGCTTTATTGTGAAAGGTTTATGTGGAACATAAACAAGTGGACACGCGATGCTGTTACCGTCGTTGTTGCTAACCACAACGCATAAAAACAGGCGCTTGTCCGTCTGTAGTGTGGTTATATTAAATATAAGAGAAAGAGAGAACTTTAAGAAATTAATATAGCCACTACAGTGACCATCAAAAAGATGAAAAATATTGCCGTAAACAGTTTATTTTGTGACACCACGAAACAAACGATAGCGTAAAATGAAACGATAGACGTTTTTATATCGTCATCCGATATATATCGTTATATCGAACAGCCTTATTCTAATTGCATAATGGTGCATTTAACTAATCATGCCTAGAAAATAAAACATACATATAGGAATATATTGTGCGGCCCACTTTTAAAACAATGGTCGCATAAAAAGAAAAAAATATGGTAATATTTTAAGGTGAAAAATCCATACCTGCTGAGCAAAATGTGTAGGCAGAGGGCCTACAGGTCCTCCAGGACCAGAGGGCTTCCCGCCGGGGCTAGCAGAGCCAGGTCTGATATAAAAAAATAATAATAACAACACAAATGAATTAGCCAACTGTGCACTGTTACACAGTGGAGCACATCTGAAGTGATAAAAAGATCTACATAACTAACTTCTACTACCTTCCTCAAATTATTTCCACTCACCTGTAAGAACCTCCAGACATGCCTGGGGAATGATTGGGCTTCTCAGAGAACTGAAAACCTTTCATTTCCATCTGTGGGCCCTGACAGTGGAGAGACACACAGAGGTACATTGTCAGACAACTGTAGTGGAATTTCAGTAATGGTCAGCGGTGTAACAGGTAAAAATGGCACACCAGTGCTGAGATATCTAATGGATCGAAAGTTGAGTAACATGAAGCCAGTAAGGCTCACCTCTCTGCTGCCAGTCATGACAGCTGCCTGCGACCCTGGTGGTAGCATTCGGCGTGGGGCTCCCACTGACAAGTTCTGTCCCTGCTGCAGCTGGATGGACTGTGGGAGGATGAGGTGTTGTTGAGCTGAACCATAACGCAGCTGAGAGCCAGGCAGGGGCATAGTGACCTGGTGAGAATGAAGAATTCATTGTAAGCCTTTAATATAAGACAACAGTCCAATTATGCCATTTATATGACGGCTTATATTTGTTAGGCTAAAACAAACACTATGAACAATTTTAAAATCCTCTTATACGTTAAAATGGATATTTTAGTCCTGAGCAGCAACAGCCCACAAACCTGAATGAGCTGAGAGTCCATTAACTGTGAAGAGCCCATGCCAGGCCCTTGGTTCATCTGACTATCATAGACTAGCTGCTGGCTGCCATTCATAGGCTGGTAGTGTGAGCCTGACTGGGGTTTAACCATGTCTGATGGCTGCATGCCAGGGAAAGCTGAGTATGGGCCCTTGAGAGGGGCTCCACCTGACAGTACCATGGGGCTGGGCTGTGACAAGTTGGGGTGCATGTAAACCTGGGACCTGAAAAAGGAAGGAAAAGAAAAGCAGAGTGACACAATGAGCGAAAGGAAAAAGTTTTTTTTTTTTTAAACTCTCGAAAAAGATTTTATCTGCTTTCTAAATAAATGAAGTGAAGCAATATGGAAATTCTTTAAGCAAGCAGTACCTGAAGGGGGTGATGGAGCTGAACATCTCTTGGGACTGAGAAACAGGCAGACCTCCCCGAAGCCCCAACTGGGCCTGAGCCTGAAGAGACGTGTGTAAAGAAATGGGAATCTGCTGGGCTGCAGCCGCCTGAATGAGTGAGCACATGCAGCATCATGACAATTTGCTGGTACACAAGCAAGTGTGTGTGTGTGTGTGTGTGT